CACACACTACAAGGTCACATTAACAGCACCAGTTAAGCCTAAACACCGCACGTGTAGCACATGAGCGCCTCGCTAGCTTCTGTTACACACATTACCACGCAGTATATCGGGGTGTGTCTTCATTAACGACAGATGATAACAACAAACTCACCTGATGATGCATGACGAAAAAAAACATCAAATCATCGTAAAATAGAATATGTGAGCGGGAATAATTATGTGCAGCTGTTGCTTCTGCTCAGAACAGCTGTGTGGGTATAGTCTGCTGTACAGGAACATCTGGTGTTGCTCCAGCTGCCCAGAAGAGTAATTTAAGATTCCTCCTCTGCCACACAGCACGTTCGTTCCCAGACTAAAATGATACTCGGAAAAACTCGTCACGAACACTCCTTAATGTTGTTATTCCTTACCAGACACGATCCTCTCTCTGTAAAGCTGGTGGTCTGTGGCACTGTAACACAGACAGAGATCACATCAAACTACAGGTAAGCCCCATAAAAACCGTATACTGTATAAAGACAGTGCTTACATATCGACACAGACCTTGATGCCTACAGTACAGTACATACATCAAATCCAACGTCGTGTTTACTTACCGTGAACTAACTACCGAATGGAGGTCAGGTGAGAGCCCTACACAACTGCCTCCCATCTGAACGTGATAACAGATAAAACACAGATGAAAGATTGTCCTTTTGTGGAAGAGCAAAGGGAAATTTCTTACCTACTGCATGGTCACAGCCGCGTTAGTGAAGGTCTGGGTGTTAACTCGCGCAGCCTAACGTCCCCTTCTTTTGTAGATTAATAACGAGAAATGGTCACAAGTTTGTTATTGGATGGATGGATGGATGAATGGATGAATGAATGAATGAATGAATGAATGGATCGATCGATCGATGGATGGATGGATGGATGGATGGATAGTCCTTATACCCGGCAGCTTAACGCCACGTCACTCTCTAACTCCCGCACGTGGAAAAAAATAATAATACCTGCCAGTAAATAAAAAAAATGCCATCTCTTCCTTTTTTTCAGATGAACACAAAGGAAAAGATACGAGGATATGTTGATAATTAACTGAGAGAACGAGAATTGCCGATAAGGGTGAAGAATGATTTTAACTGAGAGAACGAGAATTGCCGATAAGGGTGAAGAATGATTTTAACTGAGAGAACGAGAATTGCCGATAAGGGTGAAGAATGATTTTAACTGAGAGAACGAGAATTGCCGATAAGGGTGAAGAATGATTTAACTGAGAGAACGAATTGCCGATAAGGGTGAAGAATGATTTTAACTGAGAACGAGAATTGCCGATAAGGGTGAAGAATGATTTAACTGAGAGAACGAGAATTGCTGATAAGGGTGAAGAATGATTTAACTGAGAGAACGAGAATTGCTGGATAAGGGTGAAGAATGATTTTATATCGAATGTCTTTGTTCTCGCTTTTTGTCATATTCATGGACATAGAACATATAACAACAAAGAAAAATATCTCCATGCGTGGGTGGCGCGGGGGGTGTGCGGGTGGATGAAGGCGAGGCGTTGAGCAGAAACAGCAATACGTAACTGAACGCATCGA